AGGGGGCCAAAGTTTCGCCCCCTATAGACAGCGATGGAATCAGCTGACTATGCCGGGGCGCCGGCAACCACAGCCACTCGGTCTTGGAAGGGTTGAGTCTGAGTCTGTTCCTCCCCATCCAGACCCGTACGGCCTCCAGGCAACGGGTCATCACGTCAAGGGCATCGTTGGGGTGACCTGGGGTGGAGATGTACAGCTGGTTAATATTTTCTGCTTTACAGTATCAAATGTCCTTTAAATTTTAAGCGTTATTTATTTTATGTTAGACTAGAAAGTTACCATGATACATTGAATAGAAACAGAGTCAATACTATTTTCATAGCCACAAATTGAAAGATAAATACTTGGTTCTTTTCCTCTTAATTGTTGCATAAATATGACATCAAGCTTTTCAGAATCTGATATTGTCTTTCAAATATCTGCTATTCCATACCAGAAAAAAGATGGATTGACTTCTGAGGTTTGATGGAGAATAATGGCTATTAATTCATATTTGGAATTTGAAAGAGATAATTTAAATTTATGAACTCACTAATCTAATTATGGATATAAACTTGATTTCAAGTTATTAATTGTGCCATTTGTTCAAACAACATATTAAACTTGTATGCCACCTAATTCCCAATGACAACCATAATATAGATATCATTATATAATTACATTCCTCATATCTCAGAGAATGGATTATAAACTAAAGAGAAAAAAGAAATGTATCTTTTTAGAGAGATTTGATTACATTTATAGGGGGACTAGATGAATTAAAAAATTGAAGAATATGCAATATAAATGAGACAGAAACATTAAACTAATAGATGAAGAAGATATAGACAATGTAGCACTACTGAATTTAAAAAAGAATTTTGCTTGAGATTAAAAGTAGCTATAGAACAATTTGGCCAAGATAGTAAGAAGAGAGTTGCTGAAGGCTTAAAAAAATAGAATGGGATGATGAAGACATGGATGCAGAAGTGAGTCAGGTGTACAGAGTCAATACAAGAAATGGAAAGTTAAATGTACCAATGTATTTGTGCACTTTGTCAGCCAGAGGATAAGAGAGCAGGCCTTACGACAATATCTTAACATCAACTTAAAAACGAATACTGCCAGAATACTGTGCAAGAGAAAAGAATACAAAATTGACCTGTTTGATCACGAATAAGAGAATAAATGCTATTATAAAATATTTTGGGATGGAGCAAACTTTGACTTATGCTGCTTTCAATTCCTGATACAAAATACACACACACACACACACACACACCAAAACAAAAAACAAAAAAAATAGAAAAACCTCTTGATATTGAAGATAAGCTTGAATGGTCATAAAAATAATGTTTGCACATATTAGAACATTTAACTTATAAGAGTAAATACATATTTAAATTTTTATGCTTAGCAATACTATTTTCTTTCAGTTTATAAGGCACTGAAGATGAGTAGGTCAATATAGAGCTGTCAAACATCACAACTAATGAAAGCATGAAATGACAAAAGATAGAGCATGGAAGAATCCTATCTTCTTCTCTTTTTAAAGATTTACAGGGTAGTAAATGAATTTTTGATCCAGAGAAACATTAGAGGGAAAATATTTTTAAACACAGAGTATAAGACCATACCAGGTGGCCATTGATATATGTTAGTCCATATAGTATTTTTTCCAGTAAACAATCCAGCAAACTTACTGTACATTCATTGACTAATCTGACCCGTTTCCTTTGTTAATTTTTAATGGCAACACATAAAAAGGAACCACATACAGCCAATAACTTTTATTAATTAACAATGCTTGTGCATAACCGTAAATATCAAGAAAAGAAATGGGCAACTAGAAAGTGCATATTGGCTCTCCTTCCCCCTGCCCACATCCTTCCCTCTCTGTATTGTGGAATTTTATTGAGGGACAAAAAGGCACAAATGTAGCCTCTCTCCCTAGTACGATATTGCCTCGTCCTGAAATTATTTGGTGAAGACTGGGAACATTATCCTACTGAGAAAAAGAACACATGAGGATGGATCCTCCTTAGCAGTATCCCAGGACAGCAACATGGAAGAATTGGTACAGGTCGATTTAATGATCACGACTCACCACAAGGCAATGAATATGGCTTGAAAGGAAAAAGGCAGCTCACCCTTGTCCCATTGTAATATCTTTTGATATTCCATTATCATTTCTTGGACCTTCTTCAGGGCAAGATTTCAATCTGTTTGATACAGTATTTACAACTTCTCTGACCCTGACATATTTCGTGTTACAACTGATGTTCTGAATGGAAAGACACTTCATCTGTGCATAATTAAATACATTCAGCCACTTTACTAAGCATCGCTGCGTTTTAAGCGTAGGCATGTGTGTATGTAAGGCTAATTTTATCACCTCTGGACATTCCTACAAGAAGCTTTAAAAGAAGCACACAGCTGCTCTCTTCAATTTGCAGACTTTTTCTTCAGGATTACTTTCTCTTAGCATCTTTCTGGAATAAAGAACTGTCGTAAGGCAAGAAACCTGCACATGATTTAGTTCTACAAAAGCAAGGTTTCTTTGATTCTTTCCCTTCTTGCTTGCTGCTTTGCTCTTCTATGGGCAGAAAATTATGATATTTTCCAGAATAATCGTATGTGAGCTCTTCATCTGCACAGATATCACGGTCAGCAAAAAGTGCTAACTTAGGCACCATTGAGTCTATTCGGATAGGCACCATAAAGAGATTGGGCTCACAGGAGTGGTTCAGGAATCTACCAACATTGCCAATATATGTGGGGTCTACAAAAGTCTCTATGGTCGTCCCATCATACAAGTGTTCCTTAACTGCTATAATGTAATTTGAATCACATGATGTCTGCAACTGAATCCTTTTACGTGCTTCCTGAATGTCTAGAATTTCCCCAGCATATTCACACACAAATCGTCCTTTGGGTATGAATTCCAGGGTACGAAGACCCCACCCTTTTTCAGTGGTCTTGAATACTTCAAGTTGGAACTGTAAGCCCCGTTGAACGACTCTATTTTGACACATCTCTCCACACTGGCACATAGTGTTGCATTCAAAAACAGGCTTTGAAAATCCCAGTTCACATCCTTCCGTCTCAATGGACATTTTTTTATA